TCGCATTATTACAACTCTGCAGAGTTGATGAAACTTTGAAGTGCGGTTAATAGAGTCATATAACCTGAGGTTGAGAAAGCGAGTAGCATATATGTACATATACGATTGAACTATAGCGAGAGGCTAAAAGATATGTCGAATAACTTTTTGAGCTGATCATTCAAATATATATACACATGTAGATACATACATAGGTGTTTACTTTGCTAGGTCTTACTGATTAGATATACGTATGTAGAGCGAAGGACTGTGGGTACCCATTGTTTCTACAACAGTCGGATATACAAGCATTGCCATTTCTTAAAGCAAATATCGAATTTCTTAAACTATAACAATAACTGTCGGACATCATAGTAGAAATTACTGCGGAGCTTTAATTTTTCAAACGAGTTAATAATCTGAAATATCTTGTATATACCCAAGCTCATTTTATACAAGAATGCTATAACTTTGTTCTCATAACGGTGTTTTGTTACAGGCTAACGAATGAGATTGATAAAGACAAAAAAATTTTCGATTTTTAGTTTTTGGTGGGTAATGTACCAGTATTTAAATTAGTTTCATGTCCACNGAAAGGTCGCTATCATTTTTATTTACAAACTTTCAAAAGTCTCTATCATCTGATGAGCTTAGAAAACTGCTTTGGTTCGTATAGACTGTTAATTTAATGTTATTTTATGTTATAATGTTACTAGGCTCTTATTTACTAAAATTTTCAGGTAACAAAAAAAAAATTCAATATAGATGTTACTTGTCGTAGTCGTTTTTTTTTTTTTTTGAATTTATGGCTTATTTTTTATAAAATCAAATAACGCTGTTTGCAAGTGGACTACTCATAAACTTGGATTTATTTGGTTTTTGTTCTAATAAAAAAAAAATTACGACAAAAAGGTATGCCACGAAGAACATTGTGCATATTATAAATTGGCAAACTGTAGTTTTTCACATGTAAAGGCTGTTTTCAAATCGAAGTTTTTTGAATTTTTAAGCAAATGATTTATAAAAAACACCAACTATAAATTTCCACATCTGCAAAAGCAGTTTTCTAATATCTAATAAATTCTAATAAATTTCTGCATAAAAACTTCCCACTTAAGTTACTAAGGTTATGAAGTTGGCTTCAATTGATAGGATTTATAAAAATGCCTTTTCCAAATATTATCTAAAATATAGCACAGACATGCGAAAACTATAGACAATAAAACTCATCCTCCATTCCAGATGCTTAACAATGCGCACGTCATATTGCAACAGCCTTCGGGTCAACAAGTTTTAATTCAATCTCCACAACACTCGGAAATAATTATGCGTCAGCCCATGCCACAGCAACGCATTATCTATAACACAAATCGTGTTTTGTATTCACCTCAACAGCAACAACAACCGCAGACTCAGGCTGTACTTCAGCAATCTCCGCAATCGCATCAGCAACATCCGCAGCAGCAACAGCAGCATATACAATTACAAACATCTTCCACCACAACACCTATGCACACGACAGCGCGCCTTGTTCAGACGAGAGTAGGTGCCTCGCCCCAAGAGACAGTCCAGCAACATCAACAGCCCCAACCTCAACAAAATGTTGTGTTTCATCCCATTCAGGCAACCGCAGTTCAGAATCCTCAGCAGTTAAAGCCCCAGTTGCAGCAGCAATCTCCATTGCAAATGCAGCAGCAACCGCAGCAACAATTGGTGGCAACAGCATTGACTGGGGGAGTGTCTGGAGGTGGTGTTATGCGCGGTGCTATTCGTAATAAGTCACCACGCGGAGGTGGTGCTCTTGGTGGTACGCATACTCTGATCGCTCGTATGCCTGCTACTCCGGTAAGTCGGGCTGTGCGACCGCAGATGACTGCATCAATGCAGCCACAACTACACCAGCAAACACCCCGTGCACCACGGCCCAGAGGAGGCGCAAGCGGTACAAGAGCACGTGGTGCCGCACGTGGAGGACGCGGTGGAGCATCGCTCGCTGGAAGAGGAACGCAGGTAACGGCAACAACAGTGCAGCAACAACAACAATCTCAACAATTACAGCCACAACAGCAAATATCAACTTCACAGCAACTCATACAGAACGCCGTAGTTCAGGGCAAAAATATCACAATTTTAAATCCACAAGGACAAGTGAAACACATATATCGCAACATTACCGAAACGCCCCAGCAACAGTTGCAGTTACTAGCAAGTTCCGCGCAGCAGCAACAACGGGCAACGCAGCTGGTGGGTGCCCGCTTCCGTGCTCCAATTGTTACCGCAGGAAGTGGTGCAGGAAGCAGTAACAGTTCCGGTAGTAGCAGTGGTAACTATGAATTGGACTTAGAAGACAGTATTCAAGCGGTTGTGGTGAAGAAGGATCAGCAAAAACCGGCGGTTTCGACCGCCAACATTACAAACCCCCCCGTAGGTACCACACTGACTAGCTACTACACCAAAGAGGATGATGATACGCGTTTGGTACGCACCCAAAATGGCACATGTATTACCTTGGCCGAGTATCGCAAACGTCATCCGCCCACGGCTGGATCGTCTACTACAACTACAGCCACTATTTTGCAAATGAAAGCCCCACTACGCGCGAGTGGACCACAACCGCCCAATAAAATGTTACCGACGCATGCCTCCGGAAGTACAGGGATGGTGCCAATCGCACGGGTCGCACCCCAACAAGTTCAACAGCCTCAACAGTCACAACAATCGCAAATGCCTACGACAACTTCAACGTCGTCCTCAGCAGTTCACCGCACTTCGCACAACAACTACGAAATTCACACACAACATGTCATGCAGAATCGGAACAATACGCAAATGGCGGAGAAAGATCGAAATAGCGCTAAAATGTTGGTAATATTGGTGTCTGGTGAACAACGTCTCATAACATTCACATTGCCACGTGAATCTTGTACCGTTCAAGATCTACTCGAACAAGTTGGAGTGCCATTTGATAGTTCAACAACCATACAGTGCGTGGAGAATCCTGGTGCAAATATCGATTTTGTTGTCACTGTCGGGTTTTCAGTTCAGGAATCTGCCAGCGAGCTAATATCGCGCGCAGAACAGACTTTGCAAATGAATAGACAACAAGATGCAACTGCCGCTAGCAGCTTAGCGGCAACTAATTCTGCTTCTGCTTCAGTTAGCAGCGGAGGAAATACAACTGTTTCACAGGGCACCATTCCACAGCCAACGGCAACTGCTAGTTATGGGAATCCGGCGAATAGTGCAGCTCAAACTGCTAATTCTACTGTTGTCCCTGAAACGGCACATAAAGATGCACATACTAACAGTCCAGCAACAACCAGTACTACTAACAAATCTTCCACAGTACCAGCAGCAACAGAGGATGTACCCCGTAAAATTATACAAGGATTTCTTGCTGTCTGTCAAAGCTGCGGCTTTAGTGGATACGACCATGCTAAATGCGAACGCTGCAAAAGAGTTTTCCTCGATCCACCGAAGCGTGTCCCATGTGTGAAGAGTTTAGGCAGTAACACCACTTCAACGCCTGGTGAGACGACTGCGACTAAAGCCATTGGCAGCAGTGAGCTTGCACCAAGCGAAAAACGTCGTGGAAGTGATTTATTAGCACGAGCTCAAGCTAAAAGTGCTCTTAGCTACAGCAATAGTGCCGCTAGCAGTGGTACTCCGACGCGCGGACGTGGTGGTCCGGGCGGTGCTGGACGGGGTCGCAGTACTCGCAGTGGACGTCGAGCTGCCGAAATTGAACCAGTAATTCTCACGCTAAGCAGTGATGAAGAAGATGACGATGAATCATCCAATAAAGCACCAGGATCGGTAAGTACATATTCGGTGCTCACCGTAAGGAATACAGCTAATAATGCAAAAAAATTTCACATTTAAATTTACAGTTTTCATCAAATTCCAATGCTGCCAATTCTATGAGCTGTAATACAAAAAATTACGAGCCATTGGGCTTCGAAACAACAATGCCAGATGTAGATGAAAATGCAGTATATGCTGGTGAGTTCTATATTTTTGTCGTAGTAAGCTATTTATATATATGCATTAAAAGAAGTGGAAATAAAATCGGCTATTCATACCATGCAATGACATCAAAATGACAAAGTCGTTACCCGCGAGTCCTCACCTCTGGAAAGAATTGGCATAACGCAAACTGTCAAAATTCAAAATTGATCTTATACCATGTTCGGACCGACAACGAAAACACTTTGAAAACAAGTTTTGGGATTGTGGGCTGAAAGCTGTTGGCACCGGCTGTTAGTGTTTTCGTTAACATTTCTTTCATCCTTTGCTTACAGTTTTGCTACGAAAAAACAAAATCAAAATCTTTGCCTTTCATTTCCTTCTCATATGGGCTGTTTTTGCTTATGCAGCGTTTTTGCTGCATTTAAAATGCAACATTTAGCACTTTCGAAGATATGTTTTCGAAGAGCGTTCATGCTATCGCATTTAGCAAATGTACATTTACGCGAGCTCGAAATCGTATGCTTTTGACAGACAGCCGTGTTCCAGTCGCCTATTCAGATCCGTATCTATTAAGATCTATTCTCACGCAGAAAATAGTGTGCAAAAAACCCTACTGAAAAGGAAAAAAAATTGAACCAAAAATTCTCTACAAAAACTTAAATCGTTTTAACCATAACCGAACATATGTTTGTGCATATATTCATTTGTCCGTGCTGTCAATTAAAATTTCCTCACTTAATTAGGAAACAAAACAAACAGAGTTGATCACAGATGTCTATCATCATCACATCGATGTTGAATTTGCGTAACTTTTCTTTATCCAAATAATGTAAATTTTTTTTTTGGGATTTGGGTAGGTTGGCCGGTTTAATTGTAAACCACCACCAGGTTATTCCTCTTAGTATGTTATATTCCAACGTTGCTCCACTAATACACGTATGGTAATATCGCTGAGGGACAGAACCACGTGCAAAGTTTCTGCTGGTCTAACGTCTTAAATTTTTTTATTAATTATGTATTAGATTGTATTAATCTGTATNTTTTTTTTTTGGGATTTGGGTAGGTTGGCTGGTTTAATTGTAAACCACCGCCAGGTTATTCCTCTTAGTATGTTATATTCCAACGTTGCTCCACTAATACATGTATGGTAATACCGCTGAGGGCCAGAACCACGTGCAAAGTTTCTGCTGGTCTAACGTCTTAAATTTTTTTATTAATTATGTATTAGATTGTATTAATCTGTATGTATTTAATGGCAGGGAAATAAGTCTACGTATCGCCAGGTTATATCTCAAAATTAATAATTTTATAATTATACGTCAGATGTTTGTTAAAATTTAATTTTATACTTTAATAATTTTCATGCAAACTGTATTTCATCAGTTCTATAGCAGTTTTTAGTTATTTTTCCAATCAACAGTTAT